CAAAATATACAAAAGACATATTATATAAATTTTGTATAAAATTTGTATGTAAGTTGTATTATTGTAGTTGTATTTAACTGGGTGGAATAATGTGTGAAAGTTGTAGAAAATCATAGATAAGTCATATTCCTCTATACCAGGAGATGTTGGCATATCAAGTAACTTTAGTGTTACAGACGAACCTGCATGAAAATAAAGATAAATTCTGTTATGAACAGTTTGTAGATTATTTGTAGAAACATTGAAATTCTGTATTTTCATATTAATTTTTCAAATGATATGTAGTTTTATTGTATTCTAAATGTAGAAATTTTGTAGATATTGTGAAAATCCATACTGATATATATATTTACTCTGACATACAGTTTATTTGTAGATAAAATGTAAATAAAGTGTAGGACATTTATATACAACTAGAATTTGATATAAAATGTAACAGCACAAACATGCAATTGTGTTCTCATTGGTGATACTCAATTCCATATTGAAATCGTGAACAGTTATACACAGCGGATATGAACCTAAGTTTTTGTTTTCCTTTTCCGTCTCCATGTATACACGAACACCCATATCGTTCCTAATTTCCATTGCTCGTTGACAATGTATTTGATTTCTATAATTTTTCGGATATATACAACTACAATATAATACCACTTAAATACAAATTTTTTTACAATGTTGTTCAACTTTCATACAATAGTTAAATGAATAAAAGAAAAATAAATAAACAACAGAATACAATATTTCTACAATTTCTGCAATATAATGTATGTCATGTCTTCTTCTTCTTCTTCTTCTTCTTCTTCTTTTTCTTCTTCTTCTTCTTCTTCTTCTTCTTCTTCGAGTTTCAATATGAAATTCAGCCAAAACCAAGTTTAATCTTCACCAAAACCCCTCAAAATTGAGATATAAACTCCAAACCATATTCCCAATTATTTGCAACAACACCCAATCCAAACAAATAATGATTTTTGAAAACCCAAATTCGAATTCAAAGCTTCAAAGCTTTTTAATAGTTGTCAATGGTGGAATTGCTGCTCTATTTTCCTTTCCTCTTATATTACTGAAATTTGGGATTAAGAGATAGAAAGAGACGTAGAGAGAATTCTCAATTATTTGCAACAACATCCAATCCAAACAAACAATATCTTTTGAAAACCCAAATTCGAATTCAAAGCTTCAAAACTTTTTAATGGTTGTCATTGGTGGAGGGATTACAGATTTTCGCTGGTTTTAGAAGAGAAAATCGTGGGTGATTGAAGAGAAAATCCTGGGGTGTGGTTTGATACATGAGTGATGTGGTGGGATTTAGAGAGAGAAACTTGGGGGAGTGGGAATATTTAATTCCCCAATATTAGCGCGCCTTAATAAGGAAGCCTACAGCTACAATGATTCCTTATTTAATGAATTGTTTATATTTTGTAGAAATACTATTAGCATGGCGGGTAATATGCAAACTATGAACATATTTGGTAATATAGTTTCATATATGGTATAGGAACGAAAATTTTCAAATGAAAAAAGCCAAGAGAATTGGGCAATAAAAAGAGTTCCGGCCCAGAATTGGACCTGCTTGGAGGAGCTTGCTTTCACGTACACGAAAAGAAAAAAAATCAGAAATAGCCAGATTTACAACTGGTAATTGAAACATAGCCACAATTTCAAAAGTAATGGAAATTTAGTTATTTTTCATGTAATACATAATCTGAACAAAAATACCCTTAAATATTAGAGAAAATTCCAGCATAATATGCTGGAGTTCAAATTTTTTACATATGAGATTCTAGTATAATATGCTGGAATTTCATAATGTGCTGGAGTTCCAACATAATATCCAGAAGTTTAAATGGAAGAGCTCCATAATCCAACATATTATGCTAGAATTTTCCATGTTGGAAGTTTATACGCAGGAGTTCCATAATTCAGCATATTATGCTGGAACTTTCTGAGTTCAGCAAAACAGTGGTAATTTTTCAATGACTTTGCAAATGCTAACTATTTTTCGATTACTAATCCTAAAAGTGGCTAAGATGTGATAATTTCGCTTCACATACCATTTTCCCCTTGGATCAGGTTAGTATATCTTTTACTCAGACGAGGTGCTCAAATTGGCCGGAGATTAGGGGTGTGTTTGGTATGAAGGAAAAGAAAATATTTTTCAATTTTCCCATGTTTGGTTGGCTTAATTGTTTTGGAAAATATTTTCCTTATGAACTCATTTTTCTCCAATTATGTTTTCCTTATCAAGAGAAGGGAAAACATTTTCCAAAACTACTTCTCAACCTTCCCCGCCCTATTCCTTANATATATTTAGTTTTAGTTTTTTCATCTTTCGGTTTAAAGGTTCGAAATTTTATAAGTTCCAAAGTTATGAGTTCAGAGGTTTATGTATTTAGAAGTTGATGGGTTTAGAAATTATAAAGTTTACGGGTTCAAAAGTTCGCGGGTTCGAAAGTTTAATGGTTCGGAAGTTTATGAAATTTGTGGGTTCGGAAGGTTGTTGGTTCGAAAGTTTATGGCTTCATGTTTATTGTATCTAAATTATTTATGAATACTCTTGAGAAGTTATTTTCTTTAATTTACATACCAAATACTGGAAAATAAATAAGATTACTATTTATTTTCCAAAAAAATATTTCCCTTTATACCAAACACACCCCTATGTTATTCTTTTTTAAAAAGTTTCTTAAAAAAGAAGGATACGTGTAGCTCAAAGTGGGTTTAATATTTGAAGCAAGTTATTGGTTAGAGAAAAAGAGAAATTAGTAAGTTAGACAGTAAGACAAAATAATATGTTATAACTAGTTAAAGTATATCAATAATGTAAAGTTTATTTTATCGCTGTTTATGAATTAAATCCTTTAAAAGAACAAAATTATGCAAATGACATAAAAAAGCAAAGTAGAAAACTTATTCTGCCAATTCGGATTCAATTATAAGTATGTTCGAATATGACCAAAAAAGTATGTCCACTTTCGGGAAAATCTTCTGCGAATCATTTAAGATTTTGTCAACGGGAAATCGTTTATTTTCTGACTTTTTTTACGTGTACTAAAAAATAGAGGTAATAATGGACAAATTCTGAAGCTAAACAGCAGATTCGCTGCTTATTCTACTTAGTAATGAATTAACGATAAATTATTAAAAAAGTTTATTAGTTACGAATAATTTAGTGACGACTATCTGTTTACGTGAACTGCCATTTTCGCCATTTTTGTGTTTAGCGGCGGTTAACAAACCGCCTCAAATTCACAGCTTTTTTTGTAGTGCTAATTTTAATTTTTTTAGTAGTGTTATAATATTATAGTATGTTGTAGGAAGAGAAGGTGATAATGGGATTCGTTGAGATGCTTTGCTAATAACCTTAAGTAGTAAAGAGTGAAAGAAAATGTTTACTTGGTGTGAGCAATTTATATATACCAGTAAAATAAAATAGTACATAGTAATGAAAAATGACTTATTTTAATATCACCTAAATTATTTTCCTTTATTTGGTATTTCTAACGGACTAAATATTACCTAAAATCAAGTATCATCAAACGTAACATCTTAAAATACTTTAAATTATACCAACAGAGCCAATGCCATGTAGCAAAATTATCCAGATATTTTCAACATAATTAAGAAACAAAGGGGTAAGTACATTCATTTTGCTTAATTTAGCTCTTTTTTTAGTTTTGAAGTTATATTTTGGGAACGCATCATTAATAATTTAATCATGGTATTTCAAGTAAAAAAAATTAATTAAGTTTTAATTATATTATTCTTTTCCAATCTCTATTGAAGTCCATTGGGAATAATATTTCTTTTCCTTTTCTCGATTGAAACAGAAAATTTTAAATGATGACAAGGAATATATTGCTGTAGCAAAATTCTTTCCTCAAATTTGTGCTTTGGAATTTTTTTGATAAATTATGAGAGCATGTTAAATTGGTATAAGGTTCTTTTAGCATACCAAACAACGATTTATCCTTTTTAAAATTATTTTCTTAAAAGTTTTCCGAGCAGATATCGATGATTTAAACGTGAGATAAATTTATTTTTTGGGTTTTTCAATCGATGTCCGTTATTCGCATTGCAGTCCGGACTAATTCAAATTCATATTGCGTAAAGCAAACTAAAAGAAGATGCACTCTCTATTAAGATCTTTTTCATTCCCAGGTCACGAACCCGAGAATTATAATTAAGTATGGAGTGATACTGTTCATTTTCACAACTCATGTTTGTTGTTGAGACAAATCCATTAGTTATACACACAAACATATATGTAGAACTTGAACATAATATTTTATAGGGATGTGCCCTCCTCACTCCTACAACAAGATTATTTGAACAAAATTAGCAGAAAATTCCTGTAAGTGAAAAAGAAAAAGAAAAAAAACTTATTTGGATCCCCACCAAAGGAGGACAAACTTTTAAAGAATTAACATAGTTCATTCTTATAGCTTGCTGATGCTTTGGTTCAATATAATTTTAAAATAAGCTTGCAGAATCTAAAATCAGAGTCTAGTTACAACTTACAAGTCGAGTGAAATATAAATAAATAAATAGAAATAAAAGTACCCAACCTGTTCAGATGGTACTAACTTTCATAGTATACAATTATACGTCTGTTGCATGATTATCGTTAGCTTGTCCAATGTCGTATGCAAGATATTTCATAAGGTGCGACAATTAGAAAAACTGGATTAATTACAAATTCTTACAATGATAAGTGGTATTATTTTTTATATTTAGCCTCAATATTTTTATTTTTCTTATGCAGTTCCCTGGTTTAAAAAAATAAAAAATGAAGAGAGATACGTGTAACATATTATAAATATACGTGCGTTTACAAATATAACCATTCACATCGCCCTTTTCCCTCTAATTAATAATGAGAGATATCACCAATATTTTTTAGCCAAAAGTTTAACCCCCCCTCCCCCCCCCCCCCCCCCCCCCAAAAAAAAAAAACAAAGAAGATAAAAGACCAAAAAAGAAAAAAAGTTTGTCCCTGCTTCCTCTCCAAGTGATTTATTTTTCCTACAATTTCTAACACCTCCACAACCTTAGGGTCCATTGATAGAAGGAGCCATATCATTGCAAAACGTACATTGGAGATCAATATGGAATTATATTCTTTTACAAGACATGTTCGCATTAAAAAAACTATATAGATTGCTTCGAAATAATATCTTTACGTTGACCCTTTCTTGAACCAGAACCGGGGAGGATGAGAGGAAAGGGCCATTGCCACCCCTTTTCCTCCTCCTAACTATTTTTTTTCGTTTCTTACCTAAAAGCTTTTGAACGTGATGATCATGAATTTATGTACAATCATGCATTTTTCTTTTTAAACATTTTGGAATCTTGAGAGGGACAACGTGAAGAAATATTTTTTTTTTCTTGTAGACTTTTTCCATTTGAGTTCCATTTGTAAATAGACACAATTCATATTAATTCTTATATATTTCGAAAAAGAGATTTTTTTTTTCTTGAGGGGACCGTGGAAGTTTTTTTTGATCTTTTGAGAGGATCAAGAACATGAGTTGCCTCCCTTGCTTCAAGAAAAAATCCGAATCGCCGCAGGAGGAGCTGCCGGTAGCTCAGCCTAAAGAGATCGCAACCATCCCACCACATCCCGGTATGCTCTTTTAATATCATACTTGAATTCCTATAGATCCTTTGAAATTTAAAGAAAATGAATTGTTGATGGTTGTGTTCTCCTAAATAACACAAACTTGATGTTTCTCCTTAGTTTCCCTACCCTTTTTTGTTTCTTGTCTAAATCTGTCTCATTTTTTAGTTAATAAGAGAAGAATACATGCCTAGAAGTCATGCAAAAGCCAATGGTTTTCCTAGGATCATTAATTTGAAAGGAAAAGAAGACAACAGCATCAACCTAAGCATTCACAAAATACTAACGCTATGTAGAAAGCCAATAGTTTTAAGATAATCAGGGAATGAAAACAATAGATGGCCATGGTCTTTAGAAGTAAAGGCAAGATTTGTTTGTAAAAAACATACCCCTTTTGAGTAAATATGCTCACGCACCATGTAAAGTTGCCGGGCGTGTGAGCATGGAAACAACCTCTTGCAGAAATGCAAAGTAAGGCTATATACATAAGACTCAATATGGTTCAACTCTTCCCCGGATCCACGTACGCCAGGAGCTTAGTGCACAGGGCTGCCCCCTTATGCTCATGCACCAAACAACAACAACAAACACAGTCTAATCGGAGTCTGGGGAATGCTCATGCACCAAGCGTTACTAAATAAAAACAATAGATGGTTATGGTCTTCAGAACAAAAGACAAGATGGTGTGCTGCTACATGTCTTGTGTAGTTTTCCTAACACATTTGTAGGCTGATGTTCACTTTCTCCATGCATTTTGGGGGTAACCCACCAGCTGAACCCTTTCAGAAAGACGACAATAACCCTATCGAAAATGGTAACACCAATGCTAAGACTTTCACATTCCGTGAGCTTGCCAGTGCAACAAAGAATTTCAAGCAAGAATGCCTGATAGGTGAAGGTGGATTCGGAAGAGTGTTCAAGGGAACGCTTCAAGGCGGACAGGTAAAACTACCGTTTATCTCTTTCAGCCTTGTTGTGACTTTAACTTGTTTAAATAAAAAATTCTTTTATACATGTCACCCTATATTACGAGTCAAGAAAGAACTTCAGTTTTGATGTCTGGTTTGTACCTGAATAGGTTGTGGCAGTGAAGCAACTAGACAGGAGTGGAACACAAGGAAACCAGGAGTTTCTTGTTGAGCTCTCAAAGTTGACTCTCCTTAAGCACCCAAATCTGGTCAATCTCATTGGATATTGTGCTGATGGCGATCAGCGGATTTTGGTCTTTGAATACCTGCCTATGGGTTGCGTAGAAGACCATCTCCTTGGTAAGTTTATGCACATACCTCGCACTCTTCACCAGTGGCAGAGTCAGAAATTCGAACAGAGGAATCAGAAAAAAATACAAGAATGCCACACTTGAACTTCAAACCAACAACCTAACACAATTTTTGAGCTACTTTTCCCACTACTTTACAAACTTCCCTTATATTAAAGAGAATTCAACACTTTATATGTAAGGCAGCCTAGTACACAAGGCATCCCGTGTTCACGCAGGGTACGGGGAAGGGCTGCACCCCAAGGGATGTGACGTAGACAGCCTACCCTAATGCAAGCATTAGTGGCTGCTTCCATGGCTCGAACCCGTGGCCTATAGGTCACACGGAGACAACTTTATCGTTGCTCCAAGGCTCCCCTTCCAACAATTTATATATGTAGAAAAGAATTTGTTTTCATCGTATTCGCTCAGTGTAACTTTCCAAAGAAGGGGATCCAATTAAACTCCCTTAACTACACTTGCCACAGCTCTTCACCACCACCATCCCCTTCCCCCTTTCATGTAGTCATACACTTTCTTGATTTTGTACTAACTAAAGTTTTGTTACATTCCAGACCTCAAAGATGGGAAAAAGCCATTAGATTGGCTATCCAGAATGAAGATAGCTTCAGGTGCTGCTAATGGACTCGAGTATCTACACGAAAAGGCCAATCCACCAATTATTTATCGTGATCTGAAACCCTCAAACATTCTACTGGATCAAGATTTCAATCCTAAACTTTCAGATTATGGTATTGCTAAGCTTGCAGGTGGAGGGAGTAGGACAAATATGTCTCCAATGATGGTGGGAAATGGTTATTGTGCTCCAGAGTTTGAAAGATCGGGTGAACTCTCTATGAAGTCAGATGTATACTGTTTTGGAGTTGTCTTGCTTGAACTTATAACAGGGCGTCGCGTAGTGGATACATCAAGGCCAGCAGACGAGCAAAATCTAGTTGCTTGGGTAAGTACATTCTATACAAGAATTTCTTTTTAAATCTCATAGTTCTTGTGCCTTTGCTTAGCTAAAAACAAAAGGGCATTCGAGTATAGTTCTAACTGGTCACCAAATGTATGTGATTTTAACAGGCACAACCCTTTTTCAGGGATCCAAAGAGGTTCCCTGAATTGGCAGATCCGCGTCTTGGAAAGAAGTTTCCTGCCAAAAGTTTAAATCAAGCAGTTGGGGTTGCCGCAATGTGTCTTCAAGACGAACCAATGGTTCGTCCTTTAATTGGTGATGTTGTGGCAGCTCTTAGTTTTCTTACAATGCCACAACCCGATGACCCTATTCCTAGTTCGCCTCCAGCTCCAACCCCAACATCAAATATGGATAAGTCAAACAAAGATCAACAGAGTTCAGAAAATGAGGACCAAGGTGATTCAGATGATGAGGATCAAGGCGATTCAAATAATGAGGATGCAAGCAGTGAGAGTGACCAGCAAAGCAATGAAAAAGTCCATGACAAACAATATTCTCAAAAGGTCCATGACAAACAACGGTCTCAAAAAGCTCATGATAATCAAGAGGATGATAGAGGAAGTTCAGATTATGGATACGGAAGCGGATCGGGATCATCAGAATATGAGGATGACAGTGGAGATGAACAAGGAGAGGTGACAACAAAATCTGGAAAATGGGGTTCTGCAGGTTCGAGACATAAAAGCAAGGTAAAATCCCGCTCTAGAAGTGTCAACTCAAGTTCAAGTAGCGGAACATCCAACAGTAATATCACAAGGGAGCGTCAAGAGAAAGCAACTGTTGAATCTAATGGGAAATAATGTGAGTCTTGCAACAGCATGGATTCAAATTTAAGTCACAGATAGAGAACTTGGTTTGAGTACAAAACAAAGATCCAAGAGAGCAATTGCTAGCACAAATCGCAGAAGTAAAAGCAACATGGAATCAAGTAATGTAAGTATTGATTTCGTTAAGGCAACAAAGCAACTTAAATTCTAATTATGGAAGTTTTGGTGCATCAAGTCACAGCACAAGGAAGAATCATAACGTTAAAGTAATGGTTCAAATCATCACCAGAGTATAGAATTAAAAGCATGTAACTGTACCTTGTAATTAAACTTTTTTCATATTTCATATTTCCATTTTGACAAACTTAATTTTACATTTTGGCTATGATTAGTGTTGACACAAGTGATTATTTGAGTGAGCTTTTTGAGTAAGATGTTTCACTAACATTAAATATAGCAGCTTGTGCATGGAGATCTCAGGCCAATACGCCACAGGCTCAAAAAGCATCCGTGTCAATATATTATGGCTTGAATAAGCTCATAAATTTTACGATAGTAGTAATTTTATGCTCCACGAAACAAGCTAATAAGTTTACTATAGTAGTAGTTTCAAGATTTGATTTCTCATTTACGCATGAAAGGATACACAAAAACACATTACAGATGACCGATAAAGTATATAAAATGTCACCAAACAACCAAATTGTATCTGTGTATGTTTACCTTCATGAATTTGTGAAGAATGTATGAAGCCAGGTTTTTGGTTGTAGAAAAAGGTCTTACTTTAATTTACTTAAACTTCGTCA